GCCCTAGAGGGCCTCGAACCTCTGACTAGTCTTACACGGTCTGCAACAGTAAATGTTTACGGGAGTATCTGGTTGGATTAAAACTGCTGATCTTACATTTAGCAGCCCAGCTCATAATCCATTACGTTACAGGGCTCCTTGAGGACATTATGCTGAAAGAAATTAATAAATCACAAAAGGACAAATATTGTTTGAGGCTACTGTTGTAAAAGTTAAAAGGTTTTCTTGATAAAAGAAACATTCTATGACTGTTACAGAGGGAGGAAGGGAACAGGGAAAATAATTCACAGACTAGAAGGTAGATGGGGTGATGGGGCAGGCAATATATAACAAGAGGGAGATTGGCAGAGGAAAGATGAAGATAGTAGGTGGCACTGGGAGGAATGCAATAGTTAAAGTGATGTCAATAAAGTGAATAAATATTGTTAATGGATGGTACAAGGAGAGATTGCCATCATTGTAATGAAACAAAGTATGCAATTTGTTGGATGTAAAATTGATAAACTGTCCTGTAAACCTTCACTCAATTCAAAAGTTAAATAACAACACCTCCACACTCTGCAATGTTTGCTACTGCCCCACTCCTTCCCACACACTCACAGAGTGAACAATATGGCACACTCTGTGTTAAGTGCTTTGCATACATCATCTAATTCAATGTCACAATACTATGAAGCAATTATTATTATCTCCATTTTAGATAGAAGGAAACTGAGGCGCAGGGAGACTAAGTAACAGCAGGACCTTTGTTCACCATGACACGACTCTTCCTCAGTTTTACGCTGCCACACAGGAGGTTGTCATACATTTTTTGGGTTTGACCCTGCTTCATAAGTCTGAAATACAAGCAATGATCATTCTCTCAAAAGGCTAACAAGCTCTTTACCACAGATTTCCATCTTCTAGTAGCTAAGCTTCAGGAAGAGAAGGAAAATGAGCTCTTTTCGGAATCTTCTAACTGTTGAGTAGACAAGTGGCATCAGTGGGACAGGAAGTCATCATCACCTCTGTTCATTACACTAATAGCTCAGAAGATAAAATGTAACTCCTCTCACCCCCTTTATTCTACGCATATTCATAGCTCTAATACTACAGAGCAGTCCTGGTGTTGTGCTTTAGGACAAGCACTGGTTGGCAGTTCAAACCCCAGCCCCTCCTTGGAAGCCCTTTAAAGGGTCATTATGAGTCAGAACCAACGCATTGGAAATTAACAATGAATACTACAATATATTATTTACTCTTGGTCAAGGAAGGCTATTAAAATATTTTAATTTATTATATAGAAGTTAAAATGGTGTCCATAGTTGGTCCTAATGGCCAGCGAAAGGTTTACCAATGTTCTGTCCACTGACCTCATTTGCTAGGGCACCATCCATTAGCTGCCCTTTTCTCCACACAGGCACATCTCCTTTCTCTCTCCCACATGAACATTGCATACTCTAACTTGTATACTTTTTTCTCACAACTTCTTCCTTTCCTAGAACAGCCTCTTTCCCCAATATCTACCACCCTATCTGAACACATTTTGCTCTTCCTGAGACTCCAGCTCTTTCGGTTTTCTCCCCATTTTGCTCCCATGTCCCTGGTCCTCACCAACAATTTATATGACTGTCACAGTTTATTACCTCATTATATTACATGCATATGTTTATCTCTTGCAGTAGATGCCAGCCTACTCAAGCAGGGCTGAATTCTCTGCTTTGGGGCTATTCCCCTAGCACATTATGCAGTTCTGAAGCCAGAGGGTGAGAATGATCATTGTGATAGAAGTGTCTGTGACCTGGAGCACTTAAAGCATCCCTTTTCTGCATATTTTCAGGCAGAAATGCTGAGTTCTACAAATAATATTGTGCTATAGACTCTGTTCAGAATGCAGTGGCTCCTTGGGCTAAGCTCTGTACTGCCAACCATGATATCAGCTGTTTGAGCCCATCAGCCTCTCCGTGGAAGAAAGATGACGCATTAGGCTGTCGCATAGATGTACAGCCTTTGAAACCCGATATACAGTGTAACTGTGAGTCGGAACCAACTGAATAGCACTTAACAGCAACATAAACTCTGTTCATGCGTTGGAACTTGTATGCACACTTTATAACCTCTCTGCCCCACATCTTACTCAAACCACCTCTCTGGCAGCCAACTCTCTCCCAGCCTCCCTCTGGAAAAACCTGAAGACACTGAAGGTCACACCATGCACCCATTGCTTCCTGCACAGGCTTCTTGGGTGAGACCTTGTTTGGAGCTTGCCATTGAATGCAGCAGAAGTGTGTAGAGACATTAATAATCATTGTCCAACAAGGAGTGGGAGCCCATGAATAAATACTTTCCTCCTATTGTCCCCAAGACAGCTTTAAGGCCTTCTGAGGTTCTTGCCAGGACAGAACACCTGTTGACACTGTAGTGACCAAGACTATTGCATTTCCTTCTACTCTATCTCATTATGACCTTTAATCCTGCTCCATGTCTGGGATCACCTCCCAGGCTCTGCTTTGGAATGAGAAACAGTTTTTAATTCCCCTGGAATCTAGATTTCTGAGGTCTATGAAGTTTGGGGTAACCCATCCAGGCCACTGCTCTTACAAGGGACCTTTGGATCTTGAGTGTTGAGAAACTAGTTTCTAAAGTTACCTTTAATAACATGTTAGTTAGTAAGACTGTTTTGCCTTAGGTATTGTTTTTTTTGTGTGGTTTTTTTTTAAAGGAATTTAGTCAGTTTCAGGAAACAGAAACTAGGGTCAGACTTGAAGTTGTGTTTTAGGGTAAATTATTATTATGTAAATACTGCTCCCTGGCCTTTTTTAAACTGCAATTCTGATAAGATCAGGGTATAAAACTTCTTTAAAATTTTTCATCTTCAGAATATTTTTGTTTTGGTTAGTTGCAATTTTATGCTAATTTGCAAATTGTATATTCAGTAAACTTAAATTTCTATTATTGGCTTAACATGGTATTTGTTTTAACAAAGGGAACCAAACTAAAACTGTATTACTCTATAATGTTACTCAAAAATGGTATTGGCTGAAAAGTAACTGAGAAAGGCCTGGTCCTCCAAGTTCATCTTTTCTCTTTTTAAATGTTCCTTTTTGTTTCCTTCTTTCCTCTTATATTTTAATGACTACTGGCAAGATCCTACTTAGGAAAGTTCATACATTATTAGCCTGCTTTCCTGAAATTTTAAATGTTTTCAGTGTTCTGCTGTTTTATTTTTGAAAGACTCGAATTTGTCAATGATTAAACACTTGGTTGCTTATCAAAAGTTTGGCAATGTAAACCCACCCAGCTATACTCAGCAGGAGAAAGGCCTGGCTGGCAGCTCCTTTCAGTATTAAAGCCAAGTCTTCTCTATGTGGTAGTTCTACTCTGTCACTTGGTGCCTCCATGTGTGGACATAGACTTGTTGATGGCACCCAACAAGTTAGAAGAACTGGCTGCAGTGTAGTCATGTTTTCCTACTTAACTAGTTTAGAGACTGAGTTATTTTTACTAGACTGTAGCGCTATAGAATAAAGCACTGGACAGAAAAGTTGGTTTGAACTGCAAGGTCGCTGGTTCAAACTCACCACCTGCTCCTTGGAAACCCTCTACAGAAGCATTGTGAGTCGGAACTGACTCAACCACATTTAACAACAACAACTAAACACTATATGAGTAACCTGGGCGAATGTTCTGTTGTAAAGTGAATTAAGTAAAAACAACTGGCTCTTTTACTGCGCAAAGGAGATAGCTGGTGGGCTGTTGGTGCTGTTAAGTGCCATAGAGTCTATTTCGACTCACAGTGCTCCTGTATAGGGTTTCTCAGGAGACGGTGGTGGGTTAGCGACCCATTGGGTTTCCAAGGAACAGCTGGTGAGCTTGAACCACAGACCTTGCAGTTCAAACCGCTTTGCGGTCTGGAGCATTAACCCACAGCGCCACACCAGAGGCTGGTGGCTAGGTCATTTTAAATGTAAAGATACTCAGTAATATAGCAGCCTGGCCTGCTAGTGATTCTGAAGTGAAGAGGGTGGAAACCAGGATGCAATGCTCCCGGGGTCTCCAGGGCAAAGCATTCCATAAGAGGGGAGGTCCCAAAGCACGTGGCTTCTCGGAGGAGCTCCGTTTACTCTAAGGGGCCTCCTGCCAAAACGCTCAGTGTTTACTAGAAGCCGGGTGGTCAGCAAACCCAGATGTCAGACATTCTGTCCCAGGGATTCACCACTCGCTCACCCCCAACTCGTCCTCAGCCTCTCCAAGGAAGAAAGAGGCGGGGCAGAAGGCGGAGGAGCAAGTTCTGGTCAATCTCACCCCTCCTCTCTCACCACCTCAAAGGAGGAATTTCTGGGATGGGTAGATAGTCCACCCCCTCAACGTCCTCTTTCTTATGGATGGGTAGGACTAGGAAAACCTCCGTGACTTTCCCGTCTCCCTCGCAGAGCTCTCGCGTGTCCGCTCGTTGTGGCGACAGAGGTGGCCGATTGGGGCGCCAGGACTCAGGGGTCGTGGAGGCGCAGGGGTGGCAAGAAGCCCAGAAGGCGGAGCTAAGAGAGGGCTGTGGTCCCGCCCCCCTCCCAGCGCCACGGGCGGGGCGTTAGAGGCAGGGCGCTGGTCCCCCGGAGAGCCACGGGCGGGGCGTTAGGGACAGGGCGCTGGTCCCGCGGAGAGCGGCGGGGCGCACTGCGCGCCCAGTGGTTAGCGATGCTGCCGCTTCTCCTACTGGCGCAGCTGTGGAGGGCGCTACCCGCCTGCGGCGAGGGCGCGGAGGCGGCGCTCAGCCCAGAGCGTGACCTCGAGTGGCAAGGTGAGTGGCCCCCGGGCCTGGGGACCAGATCGGCAGGTCGAGGCTAGGGAACGGGAGGCGGCCGAGAGAAGCGAGGACGGCCGGGTTGGTATTGAGGCCATGTCTCTTCAGTCCCATCAAAGTTCTGGAGATGGGACAGTAGGCAGTCGCAAGGGCCCTGTAACTATCTCCTCGCCTTCTCTTCTCCCCTTCTTCCTTCCCTCCTTTCCCTCCCTGGTTTGGGCCCCTCAGTTTCGTCGAATACAAAAATGGAGTGGATAACAGTGTTTACCCGAGTGTCGCGAGGGCAAGCCGAGTGGCGGGGCCTGGGTTTACTGGCCACTCGTGCTGGCCGGGACCTGGAGCACTGGAGGTAAACCAGAGCTAGACTGTAGGAGACTTTTAAAAGTGCAAATTTTCCGAGTGTAGCTTATTTGGGAGGGCCATGTCTCGAAAAAATGATGGTAAAAAGATATCCCATTTAGTCCCCTCCTTAAAGAAACACACAAAGTGTGCACCTGTGCAGTGGCACCAAGCTAGATTGCTCCCCCTACGAAGGAAAACTTTCCTCTATTAACGCCTCTCAGAGGTCCTTCTTTCCCTTATCAGAAAATGAAGTCTGTAATGTCCATAGGACCACTAAGGAATCAATGAGATCATTTCTAAAGGCATGTGGGACACCCCATGGTTTGACCATTTTGACCATTTCTCAAACGTTACTGCCAATGCACACACCAATTCAGCAAGCGTTTATTGAGCATAAGATGAAGTCCTGGTGTGGCACTGTAGGATAAGCACTTATAATAAGGTTAGTTTGAACCACAAAGTTGGTGGTTCAAACTCACCTGTCACTCCTCAGAAACCTTATACATCACTAACAACAACAATAGCACATAAGATACACGAAGGAATCTGCAAAGAGAAATGAAGAGAGGTTTCTATCTTCTAAGAACCACACTAGTAAATAACTTTATGTTCTCTGGACCCCTAAAAACCAGGGTCCAAATGTGGAAGCCCATATGTAGACCCAAGAGGAAGGTGTTCATTGCTGGTGGCATTCACTTTGTTTCCTACTTATGATGACCCATGGGCCCATGGATGATGCAAATAGATAAGCACTCAACTACTAGGCAAAAGGTCAGTGGTTTGAACCCACCCAGAGGTGTTTTAGAAAACAGACCTGCCAATCTGCTTCTGAAGGGACACAGCTTTGAAAAGCCTATGGGAACTCCATGAGGAAAAGATTGTTGTTAAGTGCCATCAAGTCAGTTCCAACTCATAGCAACACTGTGTAGGCTTTCTGAGGAGCAGCTGTGAGGTTTGAATTGCCTGCCTTTCAGTTAGCAACCCAGTTGCTTATCTTACAGCTCCATACCAGGACACCATGAAGAGGAAGGTTTCTGTTAAGAACTTTCAAGATGGTTCTAACTAGTAGTGACCCTGTATAGAGTTTCCAAGGACTGATCGGTGAGTTTGAACCACTGACTTTGTGATTAAAACTGATCTCGAGGTAGAGTGCTTATCTTATGGCAGCAAACCAAGACCCTGTAAGGAAAAAGGTAGGGGGAAGTTAAATAAAGAAAGGAGGATTGTCCAGCCAGCCTCCGTTCCCCTGTTTTTGGGTATAAATTTAGAAAGGTGTTAAGGAAGGTGTCTGCAGACAGTTTTTTCTCCTCAATATGCTATTTATATATTTTTTGAGGTAATACTTTCTGGATCATATTCTCTAGCACTCCTAGGAGGCCTTATCAAAGACAGATTGAGCAATAAAACCATACTTATTTAAAGATGGCCAAAGGTCAGAGAATTATACCCTTGTCAGTCAGTTTACTAAAAACTTCTCCTGTGGATGCATCTGACATATCAGACACAGAGAGGTGGTCCAATCCTGGGGGCAGTTTACCAGGTTTTGGCCATTCCTTTACATTTTAAAATGTGGAGTTTGCCTAAGCACTGTCTAGAACAAGACAACAGGGCCGAGCACAGAAGCTGAGACTAGGCCATACAAAGTGAGCCTCTGACTCTGGTTTATTCCTGATCAGCTAATCCCTTTCTATATATAGCAGACCCAAGTCCAGGCCTGAGATTGTTTGTATTCAGTGCCTTCTTTTTAGTGGTCAGGGACACCTGGAAAGGAAAACCATCTGCTATCTCCTGTGTCCTCAAGGTGACAGTTTGCTTCTCTTAGGGATTTGACATAGTTGTCATGGAGTTATTTTTTCGGATATGGAAATGCTGTACTGATGTTTTAAAGAACATGGAGACTGTGCAGGAGTAAATAGCATTTAGTGGTCATTGCCACAAAGAGTCCCCTCCATGACTCCACTCATATTAGTGGAATTCAAAGATTAATCCACAGAGCTTGAATTAAATTTTTTCTTGGCTTGGAGTCCTCGTGTGGCACTGCAAGAAAACACTGGGCTGTTAACTGCAAGGTCCCTGGTTCAAACCAATGAGTCACTCTTTGGAAACCCAATATAGGGTCGCTATGAGTTGGAACCGACTTGACGACAATTAGCAACAACAACAACAACATACAAAGATGGTAAAAACAATCTTAGAGTTGGGAGGAACCTGAGATAATGTCTACTACAACCACCCATTTTACAGATGTGGAAGCTAAAGTATAGCTGCTGTATAGTTAGTCATGCTTTTAGATGCCTCAGTTTACCATGAGGGTTACTGTATGACATCAACTCAACTGTAGCCATGATTGCTAGCCACAAAGCAACAAGGTGACCAATAGATACCCATTTTAGTTTCATAGCTAGTAAAAAGATATATAATAAAATGAGGCAGATTCTACATGTAGCATTTTTCACCTGGTTTGTTTGATATATGTTATTGATAGATATGATAATGTAAGTGTCTAGTTCTTGGAAGGTAGGTATTAGACTTCTTTCCAATTACTTATTTTTTATATTAAAAAATCAGTAAATGCAGTGTCAAATAGTAGTTAAGTTCACGGACTCTGGAGCCAGACTGTCTGGGTTCAAATCTAAATTCTGCTGTTTATTATCTGTATGACCGTAGGCAAATTACTTAACCTGGCTGTGCCTCGATTCCCTCATCTATAAACTGAGGAGTAAATAATAATACTTACCCAAGTACTGCAGAGCGTGCTGGCTATGTAGGATAAACACTAGACTGTGAACCACAAGGTTGGTGGTTTGAGCCCACCAGCTGCGCTGTGGGAGAAACCTAAGGCTTTCTACTCCTGCAAAGATTTACCACCTTGGAAACATTATACAGGGTCACTATGAGTCAGAACCAACTCCATAGCACTCAACAACAACCCAAGTACTACTCCAGTTGCTGAGATACCACTTTGGAGTCATCTGTCCCTGGTCCCTGGCTGGTACAGACCACCTCCATAGATGGGCAGCCCTGTAATAATTATTTACTGCCCTGTGCATGGCACTGCACTTAGCATGTCCTCCACCTTTAGTTGGCTATTCCAATGGGCCTCATTGTGATTTGCTGTCCCCATTCTGAAACCTGAGCCCTTTAGCAAGTGCTAAAACTTGACAGGCTTATTCAAGTACCCCAGATACTGGGAGGGCAAGGTTGAAAATAAAGAAGGATGAAGCATCTTGGACAAAGGTGGTCATAGTCTGTGTGAAGGATGATAAAGGAAATGAACTTGAGGCAAGCACAAGGATTTTGACACTACGTTAAGGGCTGAAAATTATACATATGAAACTACCTTAACCAACATAGTAGGAGATGTTCCTCCCTGTAGTATTCAGCATCTTGGGGAGTTAAAATAGGTGCTTCATAATTACCAGGGACCAGGGAAAGTGAGTGTGCTGATGAGTGGGAGGTCCAAGTGCTCATCGTATTAGAGAAGAAAGTGATGCTGGGAGTGGGGTAGTGGACTGGGTTTGGCAGTCTATGAAGGAAAAGAGGGGAGGGAACTAAAGATGAGTGGTTCATTGACTATTTGTTGCGTACCGAATGTATTATCTCCCTGTTCACCCAAAGCTATTCCCGAGATAATGTAGATAGATGAATGTAGATAGATGATTTGAAACATGATTCTAGAAAGCACAGTGAGCAAATGAGATATGGAAGGGAAGAAAGCCACTGTAGCAACTGGAGCTCAGTTTCACAAGGGACCCTCTGAGTGACTGTGTAGAAGAACAGAAACAACAGAAACCTGGGATATTTGTCTGCCTACCCCCATCCTGGTGTGGCACTGTGGGGATAATGCACTGGACCGCAAGGTCAATTTGAACCACCAGGTCAGTGGTTGGAATTCAGCAGCCCCTCCTAGAAAACCTTATACAGGGTTGCTATGAGTCAGAACTTAACAACAACCTCATCCTTTAATGATTGAGATTTGCTCTTGGGGCATTAACACACAGACAGGGAGACACAAAGTCAGTTGGAGTATATGGAAACACTCAGCACTTGAGTAACTCTAGGGTAAGAGAAATGGATGGGAAACCAACAGAATCTGCTAACCACCATACCACCATTGCCTTCCAGACTGGGGAGGTAAGAATGTGGGTTAGCTCTGATACTGGCCCCAAGAAGCTGAGAATCTAGTGACATATACAGAAACATAAGCAATTACGTGTCCTTGTTATAATAAGGAATGAATCGGTTGCTAAAGGGATGCAGAGGAGGAACTGACTAGCCTGAGGAGTTGGAAACTCACAAAAGTGAGTTTGAGTCATCTTAAAGGAGCTCTAGTGTGGCACTATGGGTTAATGTGCTGGACTACAAGTCAGAATTGACTCTATGGCCATGGGTGGGTGGGTGGAAAGGAGTCCCATAATGATGCAAATGGTTAAGCATTCAATTACTAGTTGAAAATTTGGCAGTTCAAACCCACCCAGAGACATCTCAGAAAATAGATCTTGTGATCTGCTGCCAAAAGGCCACAACCTTGAAAACCCTTTGAAGCAGTTCTACCTTGCACACCTGTGGTTTCCATGAATCAGAAGCAACCAACAATAATAGCAAAGTGTAACTAGGTATTTGCCATATGAGAAAAAGGTGATGCAACATTCAAGGGTTCTATACATTGAATTGTGTCCCCCCAGATTATGTGCTGTAAATCCTAACCTCTATGCCTGTGGTTTGAACAGAACAAGCGGCTATTGAATGGCTTAAAATCAGGAACGGTGTAGGTCAGGGGTGTGTTCCTTTACCATACTTATTCAGTCTGTATGCTGAGCCAATAATCCAAGAAACTGGATTACATGAAGGAGAGCATGGCATCAGGATTGTAGGAGGTTCATTAACAACCTTCGATATGCAAATGATACAACCTTACTTGCTGAAAGGGAAGAGCACTTAAAATACTTACTGATAAAGATCAAAGACCACAACCTTCAGTGTAGGTTGCACCTCAATATAAAGAAA